AACTTTCGGGCATGTCTGATGTTTCCTCTCACTGCATCGTTGAGGTGCCTGAAGAACCGACTCTCACTGAATCTTGCCTTTCTTCCCGCGTGTGTGTGTGTGTGTGCATATCGTCCCCTGGCCTGGACAATTGGGATGACTCAGGTGTACCGCAATGCTCTTCGGCTCGTGCGCACCATGGTGAGCTGTGTAGAACACATGCACTCAGGCACACGCACAGCACAAGCACACGCACACAAACATGCATATGCGCTCGCAAGTGCACATGCATCTCCCCAAGCACCCTCACATGCACACACACATGCATACGCGCTCACAAGTGCACATGCATCTCCCCAAGCACCCTCACATGCACACACACATTCCGTTGCATATGCACTTGCACACGCACTCGCACACACACTCGCACACGCACTCGCACACGCACCTGCCCATACACATACAAGGACGTGCACTTTTATATAAGAACAGAGGAATCCTAAACCTCACACATATGATTCTACCACTGTCATAAGTGTACCACCACTGATGATAGGTCCATCGCAGTGATTTCACTAAGTTTTTCATGCCATTTTCAAGGCGACTCAACAGTCAGTTCAGTGCCACTGCCATGCCATCAGATAAGAAACTTAAATTATCTAGCTGCCACAGCAGTGATCAGGAGTAACATAACTAATTCCCCATCCCTTTCTTTCCTTCTCACCACCTTATGTCCATGCGTGCCCAGCTGCCCCTCCCGTATCTCAAGGGCGGCTACCTCACAGTGCCACCTGGCGGCAACTCATTGGCTCCCCATGCGGAGTGGCTCAGGCTCTGGTTTGTGCTGGACCATGAACGGCTCAAGGAGGTGCGTGCTGCTCTCGTTGTGTGCGGCTGAAAAATGTGCGTGCTTGAGTGTCTTGAAAAGGGTTTGTTTGGTGCCTGGAAGCCTGTTGGGGTCTCTGTTGCTAGGGGCCATGCTGTGTAAGTTGTTCTCCTCAATCTCCACACACTCTCCGTCACACTCTCCTCACGCTCTCCGCACGCTCCCTCACACTCTCTTCTCACTCCCCTCTCACTTGCCACCCTGACCCATTTTTTCTCGCCCTTCATCCTTCCCTCTCAATTCCCCCAGGGTAAGAAGCCTGAGCCTAAGCAACCCCACAGCAACCTGACCTCCCGCCGCAACACAGCCCACTCCCAGACCTCTGTAACAGCTTCGATCGTCCAAAAGCTTGAACCTGCTCCCACCACTGCTGCCGCTCCTGTCGCGCCTGCCAATGCCGGAACCCCTGGTTCAGCTGCTGCCATGTCAGACGAGGGAAGGTGGTCAGACGGGGCGATGGGTGGGCGGCCTAATTTGTCGTCTATCCTCGAGGGTGGAGTTTCTGCACTGCCGCCTCCACCGATTCAAGTGGATGTTGGCCAGATTGTGTCAGTGGAGGCTTGTGCTGATCTCAGCCTGCCGGCTGGCGGAGGCATTGTGCTGGACACTGTAGATGGGCCATTTTACATGGTGAGTGTAGTTGCTAGGCTGCATAAAATGCAGTTGCTGAAGTCTGATTTAAAGTTAGGATGGTTTCAATTTCTGGTCCTTGCTCGCTTGTGCCCTCTCTCATGTTTGGGTTTCATCTATTGTGCGCTTGATGCAGGTGGCGGACGATTGGGACTCTATGGATGCGTGGGTGGATGCAATTCGTTTGGTGTACACAATCTACGTGCGAGGGAAGTCAGAAGATCTTGCAGCTGTTCTCGCTGCTTAACTGAATATACCGTACAATGATATAGTCTACTTGGAAGAGTGAATATGAATTCAGGCCTTTTCATGTTTGTGTGTTCTTTTGTGCACAAACTGACTAAATTCAAGTGGTATTCGTTGCTGTATTCTATCAGTTAGTGTACTTCTGCACTCACGAGGTTCTCCGATATTTCAACTTATTGAGGCAAGGATGAGAGCCCATCCGCAAATCCCAAATGACCGTGCGAGTATCATCCTCGGTACTTTACTTCTCGTTTCTTGTCACGACAGTTCAGTTTCCGTCGATACTGTACTGACTATCAATTTGCTTCATGTTCTCCTCCGCCCTCCCCTTCCCTTGGGAATTGTTTCGCTTGCGCCTCTCTGACTGCACAGAGCAGCTACGTTTTCAAAGCCCAGTCTCTCCCCTCTTCCACCTTCCTTTCTGCCCTGGGGTGGTCCCTCTCTTGTAACTCTCACACCGTCTAGTCGCAGAAGTAGCCATGGCGCCCAAAGGTGAGGGCGCGACAATGTTACCCGCCGTCTAGTCTGATGTTTCCGGTTTCGTTCTGGGGTTTCGATCGTACTGTGGATTCATCATGGTGGAAAATTAGGGCAAAAGTTGAGCAGAATGTGACCAGCCTTTGGATTAGGGTTTCTTACAGCCAGCCGGTGTGTCCGTGACCCTTGAAGGTGGTCGTTGATGCGATTCGTGCGGGCTATTTCTCCCGGAGTTTTCTCTTAGTATCCGCGGCACGGAATGTTAGGGTTGAAGAAACAGATACCGCTCGTATCGTTCATTGTCATCATCGAACCGACTGGTTCACATTACGTACATCAGTGTTCCAGAATCAGACTACGTTTTTCCTTTACCCGTCAAACTTTTTCCGGTGGCTCGCTCACCCTTGTTTCATTCACCATGTGTCAAGCCCGATGCTAAGGTACAAGCCGCAAAGGCCGCGAACGCCCTGAAGAAGACGAGCAGGAAGCAGATCCTTAAGGTCCGGATGTTCTTTGAGTCGACTCAAATATCATTTCCCTCACCCCTTTTTCCCTTCACCAGGCAAGCCCGATGCCAAGGCACAAGCCGCAAAGGCCGCCAAGGCCCTGAAGAAGACGAGCAGGAAGAAGATCCTCAAGGTCCGGACGTCCGTGCACTTCCACCGGCCCAAGACCCTGAAGAAGGCTCGCAGCCCCAAGTACCCCAGAATCTCGGCTCCTCCCATGCAGAAGCTCGACCAGTTCCGGGTGAGTGGAACTTTTCATGATCCTTTGTTACGGTTTGCGTATTATCGTTTGCTATCGTCCTGAATGTTCAAATGGGAAGAGCAGGTCAGTGGTGGGCGTGCCAGCCTTCTGTAGTAATAGTGCTGTCCACTTTGGAGATGACAAGCTTCGAGAGGCGTATATCTCACGCGATGCTTTTCAAGGTTCTGCGAAGTTAGCTAAGGTGGTTAGTGGCTTCTTGTAGCACGCATGGCGCTACGTGTTGCTGACGCTGACTGTTCGAATAGCAGATGGAGATCGCCTCCATTCGCTTCCATTACGAGAGGTTCTCCGACGACTAGGAGTAGGCGCCGGTGCTCCTGAAAGGATCGTCACTTTCTGGCCAGTGGAATTCAGGCTAGTCGTTAATTATGTCGTCAATAGGACGTCTGATGCAAACGTGATGATAGCTTAGACATCTGACTGACCGGTCCACGACATTCCGCGATTCTAGGATCCCTAAGAGTAGTCAGGATACTCCGATCGCTGCTTTCCTGAACGACGAATTCCAAGCACTTGAAGACCGTAGATATTTTTTAAACGTCGGGTCAGAGACTTCTTCAGACCGCCGGTTGTCGAACGCCTGGTCAGAGGCATTTCAAGCTGCCGATTACTCGAACGGCTACTTATAAGGACTCGGAGATTCATAAATTTTCCGAATGACTTGTCAGAGCCATTCCGAGCTGTCGTTCATCAAAACGGCTAGTAAAAAAGATTTTGAGACGCGTTTTCACAGAGCCATTCCTAAGTGCAGATAACCCAGTGTCACGGATGCATATGCTGACAGTCACTAAAGAGAATGCGGGATGCAGACAAGCTCTACGTAGCTGACATTCTCGTGCCTAAGTTTTTGTTGATTCCCCTTCATATGAGGTGTGAATGTCCTATTGTCCACGCAGTAGTGGATGAAGAAAATGTTTGGAAACAACTTTGTCACAATTCTGACGTTTCTGTACCTTTTTCCCTCTGTCATTATCCCCGTTATTACTCGCCCTCCCAGGTGCTGAAGTTCCCGCTGACGACTGAGTCCGCAATGAAGAAGATTGAGGACAACAACACGCTGGTGTTCATTGTGGATCTGCTGGCCACCAAGAGGCAGATCAAGGAGGCCGTCAGGAAGATGTACGACATCCAGTGCAAGAAGATCAACACACTCATCAGGTAAGTGATTTCGTTTCTTAATCCCCGTAAGGCTCAGTTTTCCTCGAAATTTCGTTTCTTAATCCCTGTAACGCTCACTGATGGAGGAAATTCAGGAGATAATTTTGATCGCTTGAGCATCAGGCCACCGGAGGTCGAACCTACTCTTAGGGGCAAAGAGAGACATAATAAGGACTTGATAAGAATGGCAGAATGAAGGACGTTCGCCGCTTGCACTTGGAATTTCGCAATCTAACGTTTTGATTTCCTCTCCCCCCCAAATCCGTCACCCTGTGACGTGGCAGGCCTGACGGACAGAAGAAGGCGTACGTGCGGCTGACAGCAGACTACGATGCTCTGGACATTGCCAACAAGATCGGCATCATCTAAACCTCCTCGCCCACTGTACTGCTGCTGCTTCTGCTCCGCCTCTACTGTCCTCCTGCCTTTCGCCAGGGAGGCGTTGGGCTTGGTATCGGCCATTTTGGAGCTATTGTGATGTACTGTCCTGTTCTTAGTGCCTAATTCAATCCATCTGCTTGCAGTGATTGGGTTCTGAAGAGCAACCAACATGGCCAATACCACAGCATCCAATGCCTACTGGCCTGTTCTACATTGTAACTCCATTGTGGAATGGAAACATACTGTGAAAGAAGCAAGCCCGAGCAGCTGAACGAAACCCTCCCCTTACACTTCATATGGTACCGTGTTCTACAAGGTAATGCACAATACTGTAGAGACTCAAGTTTGCCTAAAACTGATTTCTCACTTGCTGCAGGACCAAGGACTGAACTACCATATGAAGTCCTGAATCCAATGATGCTTGGCATCAGCAACATCATGATTCACCAAAAGATTGACACATGTCAATGACATGTCAAGGCACAAAGCCCAGTCCCCAGTGGTACTCTCCTCCAGCACCAGACCCATCCTGACTGGGTTGCCTGCCCTTGGCCGCTCCAAGCTGCCACACCCCCTGCTGCACTGGCACAGAGGGTCCCCCTGATGATGGCATTCCAGCTGCATGCTCAGCTGATGATAGGGCTGCTTGCTGTGCTGCAGCCGGTGCTCCAGGCACCAGCGCAGCCCCAGTGTCAGGGGTGAAGGCAGCGTAATTGCTCCTCTGGAAATCAGTCAGCCAATCAGCGCTCAGCTGCTGCATGGCTGACGAGTCATCAAAGAGTAGATGCCCCACTGCACTCACATCTGCCACATCCCCATCCGTCGATGTTTCACCCAGAGGAGTTGCTATTGCACCATCTGTTACTCCTACTGCAGCTTCTGTTACTCCTCCGTGATCCTGTATTCCTCCAACCCCTCCAACTTCTGTGGTGCCTCCAGGGCCAATCCCCCCCAGCCCAGGGTTTCCAACACTGCTGGGCCAATCACAGCCCGACATGTCAGCAGCACATTCATCCCCCATAAGGAGTTGCTCGATATCATGCATGTCAAGGGATGCTGCAGTCTGCCCTTGACCAGCAGTCATTGACAGAGATTCCTGGAACCCCCCGCCACTAGCAGCATCATCCTCCTCTGTGCCCACGCCTCCAGCGAACGCATCTGGGCCGTCGATCTCTGCTACAAAGCCCCACAATGATTGGCTGGAGTATGCGGGCAAGACTGGTTCTAGGTCCGCAGCGGATGGTAAGATCTGCTGCACTATTCTCTGCGGCATCTGTGGCATCTGTGGCATCTGCTGCTGCTGCTGCTGCTGCTGCCCTCCTCTCCCATCCTGCAATTCTTCTGCCACCTGCTCCTCCCACTGCTGCTGCTGCTGCTGCTGCTGCTGAAGCTGAGGCTGACAAGTCGCGAGAATGGAGCTGTCACCTTTCTTGGAGTCTGGATTAATTGAGCTAACTGGCTCAGCTGGGTCAACTGGGTCAACCGGAGGCGGAGTGTGCTGTCCAGCATTGGCGCCAGGTAGAGCATGCACGATTGTTCCACACTTCCCCAACTCACCTTGCCCCTCTCCACCATCACCTCTTTCTCGGTCGCTTGCACTCGCACTTGCGTGCGCACTAACGCTTGCACTCGCACTTGCGTGTGCACTAACGCTTGCACTCGTACCTGCACTTGCACTGGTACCAGGTACTCCAAGACAAGACGGAGCAGCAGGCGGATGGGAGGCAGCAGCAGCAGCACTCCCGCGGGGATGGAGTGGGCTGTTGGGAAGTCGTGGGCACGGGCTGCTGCTTCGGGACCGGGGAGGCCATGCGGAGGCGGATGGGTGGGGTGGATTACCCGAGGAGGATGGGTGGGGAGAAGGACCCGAGGGGGGATGAGCGGGAGGAGACGGCAGAGCGAGTCCTGTTCTCCCATAGGCTCGTGGAGACGGAGAGTGGACGGAGCGGGGGGAGGGGGACGACAGGCCGCGGGGGGAAGGGGAGGGCAACCCGCCACGGGGGGAGGGGCGGGGGGAAGGGCGGGAGGAGGGGGAGAGCATGTTGCGGGGGGAAGGGGTGGAGAGGGCGCTGCCAGACCCGCCAGGTCTGGGGGAAGGGGAGGAGGAGGAGGAGGAGTTGTGGTTGGTGCGGGGTGAAGAGACGGCAGCACGGGGTGACCAGAGATATCCCGACCGGTGGGCGATCTTGAGTGCTCCCAGCGGGCTGCGCCGCCCGCTGCGCTGGCTTACCGATTCGCCAGAAGCCTGGCCGGGAGTTTGGCGGAATGCCCGGGTTGGAATGTGGCTGAGAGTGGGAGTGGGGTCGGAACCACCACTGCCACCGCTACCAGCACCAGCACCACTGCCACCGCTATCAGCACTGCCACCACTACCAGCACTGCCACCACTACCAGCACTGCCACCACTACCAGCACTACCAGCACTGCCATTGCTGCTGGAATTCCCAGCATTGCCACCGCCTACATCACTACCACCAGCAGCAGCAGCACCGCAAGCAGCACTAGCAGCAGCACCGGCAGCAGCATCGGCAGCAGCACCATCACCATTAGCACTGCCAGCACCCCCACTGGCACTGCCACTGCCACTGCCGCTGCTGCTGCTTCGGTTGCCCCGGCTGCTCTGGGGAGGCAGAGCCGCCCTACCATGCGAGTGGGTGTGAGTATGAGACTGATTGTGAGAGTGATTTTGGGAGTGACCGTGAGAGTGTGAGTGAGAGTGGGAGTGCGGGTGTGAGCGGGGAGGGAGGCGTTCCGATCGGGGGGAGAACCACGAGGCAAGTGGGCGGGGGGAAGCAGGCGGGTACTGCTGCTGCTGAGCAACCGTGCGGGGGGAGGGGGAGCGGGGGGAGCGCAGCCGCCGGGCGGAGGGGGAGAGGTTGATGTAGAAAGGAGAGCAGGGGGTGCGGCGAGGGGGGGGAGTGGGGGTTTGCAGCCAGTCTTCTATGTTGAGAAACTCGCCAGAGGCTGCTGGGCCGCTGCTGCTGTCACTGCTGGTAGGCTTGTGGCAGTCTGTGGGAGGGGAGGGGGCCGGGGGGAGTCAGGGAGGGGGACAGCAGAGGGGGTAAAGCAGCAGAGGGAGGGAGGCAGCTCATGAGCTTTGAGTCAGCTCGTGAAGGGCACAAGGCCACACAGGATGGGAATGGTGGGAGATGAGAGGGGGGCTGGGGACGGACAGCACGGAAGACAAGGAAGACGCAATATCCAAACGGGCCCAAGGAGTTCCCCCAATCCCACGCCTAAACCAAATCTTCAACTCACACCCACAGCTGAACGCGGAGAGGCAGAACTCACCGATCTCGAGGGAAGAGATGACTCTTGACTCGACTCAAAAGGCAGAACTCACCGATCTTGAGGGAGGAGATCTTCTCTGCACTGTCCTCCATATCCATTGCTGCTGGCCCATCTGCTGACCCTGCACCAGCAGCACCTGAATTCCCATCAGCCGCAGCAGCACCAGTGGCACCAGCAGCAGCAGAACCAGCACCACCAGCACCATCAGCAGCAACAGCGGCACCGGCACCACCAGCAGCACCCGCAGCACTAGCACTAGAACCAGCGCCAGCGCCACTGGCACTAGCATCAGCACCACCAGCACCAGCACCAGCGCCACCACCACTGGCAGCTGAATAAGGAGCTCCGGGTGCAGAGCCAATAGGAGGAGCTGAGACGACAAGTGCAGAACCTAGAGGAGCAGCAACAGGAGAGCTTGTGCGTTCTTGAGTGGATGAAGGTTCCGACGTATGCTTGGATTGTTGGATAGATCCTGCAGCAGGCCCAGCCGGCTGATGTGCAGGTGGACTAGAATATTTCCAAGTGCTATCACTGGCCGCCAGAGCGGTGGGATCATGACCCATTGCAATGGCAGCAGTAGCAGCCACAGCAGAAGCAGCGGCAGCAGAAGCAGCGGCAGCAGGAACAGCAGAAGGATCAGCAACAACCGCAGCATCAGCACCAGCAGTGGCAACAGCTGCTTCATCCTGCTGACACTCACCCACAGCAGCCACAGCAGCCGCTGCCGCCTCTCCCATCGTCCACCTTCCCCCATCCGCCCCTCCAAAGCTCCCACCGTCCCTCCAGCTCCCAGCTCTCGGCACATTCGGTAGACTGCTCGCTCGCAGCACCCACTGCTCCCCTCCTCCTTCCCCTCCCTCCCTCACACCACCATCCTCCCCGCCACTCGCACCGCTCACAGACCCCCCAAAACTCGCAGACCCCCCACCACTCCCACCACTCCCACCGCTCCCACCGCTAGCAGCACTCGCACCACTACCAGCCGTCTCACTGCCCCCACCTCCAGCCACAGCGCTGGCAGAGGCGTTTCTCTGGAGTCTCCTCTGGTGCAGCGACACCTTAGGCCGCTGCTCCCCTGTCCTGCTTCGCCTCACTGCCTGTGGCCGCGCCACAGCTGATGCCGGCACCTGCGCCGGCGGCTGGTGTAGAAGCTGCTTCTCTGCTGGCGGTAGTGGGGGTTGACGGATTGTCCTCTGGGTGTGCCTGAGCTTTTGAGGTGCTTCAGAGAACGCCTGAGCTGGTGGCTGGTGTAGCTGCTGTTGATATTGCTGCAGATGCTGCTGATGCTGCTGATGTTGCTCCCGCTGAAGCTGCTGCTGCTGCTGCTGCTGCTGCTGCTGCTGCTGCTGCTGCTGCTGCTGCTGCTGCTGCTGCTGCTGCTGATGCTCTTGTTGTTGCTGCTGCTGCTGCGGCTGCTGTTGTTGTTGCTGGTGCTGTTGTTTCTGCTGTTGGTTATGCTGTTGATGCTGTTGCTGGTGTTCTTGCAGCTGCTGCTGCAGCTGTTGATGTTGCTGCTGCTGCTGCTGTTGCTGGTGCTTCGGCTCTTGCAGCCGAACTGTGCGAACCTCACCTACAGCATCACCAGCAGCAGCACGAGCAGCAGTAGCCACGCCCCTTTCCAATGCAGCATCAGACGCCACACCTCCTTGCACCTGACCCACATCGCCATGCATCTTAACAACATCCAGCCCTTCTCGGGTATGAGAGGCATCCGGGCCTTCCTGGATGGTGGGCAGTGGGCTGATAGACATGGGGGAGGTGAAGGAGCTCGGGGAGAAGAGGAAGAAGGAGGGAGACAGACTCGTGCTCTCAAGCACCGCAAGGCTGCCGCCACCGCCACCGCCGCCGCCGCTGCCGCTGCCGCCGCCGCCGCCGCCGCTGCTGCTGCTGCTCCCACCTTGCGCAGTCATTTGACCTGTGTTACCTTTGCTTGCTGCTGCTGCTGCTGCTGCTACGTTCCCCCTTGCTGATGCGCCCTCGATTGCTGTTGCGCCGTCCGTTACTGTCTCCAGCTTCCCCTTACCTTCTGATCTCCAGCTGTGTTCACTGAGCACTTCATTCCCCCCAGCACCACTCCCAGCACCGTTCCCTGCAACACCTTCATTGGTCGTATCTTCTGCATTTTCTGCAGACACAGCAGCGGCAGCAGTAACACAAGCAGCAGCAGTAGCAGCATCAATAGCAGCAGTCGCGGCATCAGTAGCAGGTGCTGAAACTGCAGCGCCATCAGCAGGGACAGCAGCAGAAGAAGCACAGGCATCGCCATTGGCAGCAGCAGCAGCAGCACCACCACCACCACCGCCAGCACCAGCATCACCTTTACTACCAGCACCATCAGCACCACCAGCAGAACCACCAGCAAAAGCAGCACCTGTAGCAGCACTGCCACTAGCAGCACCGCCACTAGCAGCAGCCTCCTCACTCTCAGCAGCAGCACCGCCACCGCCACCACCAGCATCGCTTTTACTACCAGCATGGCCCCCTTTCTGCTCTCTCTGCCGTCGCAGCCGCTCCATCCGCTTGAGGTGCAGGTTCCAAAAGTTCTTCACATCGTTGTCTGTTCGCCCCGGCAGGTGCCTTGCGATCTGCGCCCACTTGTTGCCCAGGGTCTCCTGGTGGGGGTAGACGAAGGGAGGACAAGGAGCGTGAGGGAGAAGTGGGCGGGAGGGGGGGAAATGTCTCAGGTCGCGCGTTCGCCCCGGCAGGTGCCTCGCGATCTGCGCCCACTTGTTGCGCAGCGTCTCCTGGTGGGGGTAGACGAAGGGAGAAGGCAGATTGCGAGGGAGAGTCAGGTGTGAGAAGGGGAAGGAGAAACGTCTCTGGGCATGTGTGTCTCTCCGCCCCGGCGCCAGGTGCCTTGAGATCTGCGCTCACTTGTTGCCCAGAATTTCCTGGTGGGGGCAAGCGATGGGAGAAGGGTGACCGGAGACGGTGGAGAAGGCGTGTGAAGGGAAAAGCAAGGGAAGGAAGGGGGCCTGTGGGCGTCATTCAGCTGGGCAGGCAGGTGTGTGATTGAGATCGAAAGAGCAGTAGAGTATCATCACATGCGAGCGAGGACAGGGCTTTTGAGACGCCTAAAAAGTCATCACATGCGAGCGAGGACAGGGTCAAACTCCTGCTCTGTGAACCGCTTGCAGCCTATCCTACAATTAGGCGTAGCACAGGGTAGTGCCTCACAAGTGCATTACCTGTAGGGCAGTGCCTCACAAGGGTATTACCTGGACTCCTGCTCTGTGAACCGCTTGCAGCCCAACTCATCATGTATGCACGTCCATATGTGGTGAGACGGACTGCACTGCACGCCCAGCATATGAACGCCGTCTCACATCACAAGTGCATTACCTGTAGGGCGAGTACGATGTTGGACTCCTGCTCTGTGAACCGCTTGCAGCCCTTGCCACCGTACCTCTGCAAACAAAGGGCGGAAGGGGCACGAAGGAACGAGCAAGGAGGGAAGCTGATAGGAGGAGGACTGGTTGTAGCCGAGTCAGCAGCATCCACTGTGACATTGGGTGGAAAAAGAACACTGCAAGTCTGTATTCTAAGAATTCTCAAGGAAGCTGATGGGAGGAGGACTGGTTGCATTGTAGCCGAGTCAGCAGCAACCACTGTGATATTGGGTGGGAAAAGAACATGCAAGAATTGGAAAAACATTGTCTGGCCATGCCTGCAGCTTCTCACGTAACCACTGTCCACTTGCAACGGTGCCATGTCTGCACTATAATCAACGGTTCAGCATCCAGGTGATGTTGGGGAGTAGCTCGAGCGAGGGGTCTATCATTGACCAAGACCACCA